GGGAGAGGATATCAAAGCATACATGAATAAGTCTATAATGTCAAATCACTTAGCATAGAGGCTGTTTGAGGATAGAGTTTATGTGGGCTCCTATTATGAGAGCGAGCGGGATTCATCTTCTTCATTGTAACTAATGTCCTGTATGGGTAGAATGGGTCATATGAATCATTAAATGGTGAACATATTAGAGAACAAACAAGTATGCATGCCTTCGACTACATAAAAGATGACCCCAGAGAATGCTAGGGATGCACGAATCTAAGTATATATGGATATAGGCATATTCTTTTACGAGAATGTTATACCATTTAATATTGTAAAATCTCCTTCTTACTACAACATGATTCGTTCGATTGGAGCATACAGCAGAGAGTTCAAAACTTCATCCATGTATGATCTGAGGACATGAATTTTGAAGAAGTAATACAACAAAACATATTGAGAAAATTAAGAGGACATGGGCTCAGACAGGTAGGGCTATCAATAAGAACACTACCAGAAAACTCGACCCTAACCAAAACCGAAAATTTTGGGTTCAGGTCCCTATAAAGAAACAGGTCGATTTTAGGTCCTATTTTTGAACTTGTTTATAATTCGAGTCAGGTTCGGGTCAACCCAATAATTAGGGATCAACCCGTATTGACCTTTGCCTAACCCCCTATTAGGCTATCCTATTACTCTCGCAATGCACACGCAACTCACACGGCATGCACTCAGGCAGTCTGCCCTTGCCCGCAGCCCTAAGCACAACACACGCTTGGTTGCCCAAGTCGCACCTTACACGCCCCAGCACCCACACCTCGTCCACTCTTGCATGCTCACACAAGTCTTTATGCTCACGCGAGCCCATACGCTTGTACTCACCCCGCACCATAGTGCATACCCGCTCGCCCGCTAGCCAGCTCACCTGCTTGCACCCACACTTTCGCAAGATCCTGCCAAGCCGCCCTCACCATAGCTCATTCATACAGCTCGTGCTTGAGCACCCTGGGGGTCCGCGGGTCAGGTCAACTTGGTCACTCGGTATGTTGGGATCGAATCTGAATTTTTGTCTCGTTTACAAAACCGGGTCAGGTTTGGTCAGCTGAATTGGACCAGTGTCAATTCAAAGTTAGACCCAAACCCAACCTAAATAACCATTTTTACACCGCTACAGGCAAGTGTTATAAATATGTCTAATAGATGTTCAAATGTAAAAAACCATTTTTACATCGCTACAGGCAAGTGTTATAAATATGTCTAATAGATGTTCAGATGTAAAAAATATAAGTTAAATAAACATACTAATCAATATCCCATATGGTGCTATATTTTTTTAAATCCGTTGAATTAGATGTTCAGATGTAAAAAATATAAGTTAAATAAACATACTAATCAATATCCCATATGGTGCTATATTTTTTTAAATCCGTTGAAGCATTTGATCATATGAAAGATGTTGAGTTTATCTTTGAATTACAAGACATTATTGTTGAAGAGGTTGGAGAGCACATGATTGTCCAAGTGGTAACATATAATGTTAATGCTTATAGGACTGCAGGGACTAAACTTACGGAGAAGAGAAAATATTTATATTGAACTCCATGTGTCGCACATTGTATTGATCTCATCCTTGAGAAGCTTGGGGAACTATCACAACACAACAATGCACTAACAAAAGCAAAGAAGGTAAGTAAATTTATTCACAATCATTCTTGAATTTTAGCACTTAAGAGAAAATTTTCAAAGAAAGAATTACTTAGGCCTACAGTAGTAAGATTTATCACTACTTATTTGATTCAACAATCTTTGGAGTCCATGTTGAATGCTAGGCAATCTTTGAAGTCTATGTTTACATTTACATAGTGGTTTAGCTGCACTTAATTGGGAAAAAAATCTAAAGGGAAAGAGGTTAGAAAAATTATTCTAAATGATAGATTTGGTAAAGTGTCAGGTATGCAATCACAACCACTCGGCCATTAGTGCAAGCTCTTAGGATGGTTAATGCCGAGAAGAAGTGTGTTATGGGCTTTATATAGAATGCTATGAAAGAAGCAAAAGAAATGATTGCCCATAATTTAGGAGGCGAAGAGGGAAGCTATAGAGAAATTTAAAATATTATTAATGATAGGAGAGAGTTACAATTTCATCGGCATTTGCATGCAGCAAACTATTATCTAACCCCTCAATATTAATATGTAGAGAATAAGTCTACAAATCTTAAAATAAAATTAGGATTATATCATTGCATGGATAGATTTATAAATGATTCAATTGAAATATCCAATGCTGACATGCAATTGGTACCATTTAGGAATTAAAAAAAAAAATTGAATTACAACAGGCAAAGAATACTATTTCTAAGAAATCTCAAGGTAATTTTATTTGTTACTTTGTTATATTATATTCTTATTTATTTAAAAGACATTTCATGAGTACTAACTATACTCATTTATGTAAATGTCAGTTGAATGGTGGATACAGTTTGGTGATGGCACTTTAGAATTGCAATGTTTTGCTGTGAAGGTTTTGGGATTAAAATGCTCCTCATCGAGATATGAACACAACTGAAGAACATACAAGCAAGTGCATACAAAGAAAATAAATCGTCTGACAATCTTAAGGATGAATTTCTTAGTATATATTATGTACAATAAGAGACTTAAATAAGAACTTAAATAAGAATGGGTTGAAGGATGATCAAGATGTTTTAATTTATGAGGATATGGCATCAGATGAGGAGTGATTTGTAGATGATGAAGTGGAGGTTACGCTATCTGAATTGAGAGAGGAAAATTTGAATGTTGATTTCTTTGATGATGATATAAATATAGCATCCACATCTACCATAGCCGAAGTACAAAAAGAACGAACTAAAAAAGGTATATAAAAAATAGTTTTGATAGAGCTTATTTATCTTAAAGTATTACTCATATTTATATTGATGAAAAATATTTAGGGAATAGGAAGCTAACTGATACAAACGAATAAGAAGCTGATTGGTAGGCATGGGACTCCATAGGTGATGAGGCAGGGAAGAGAGCAGTTCATTGTGACAATAATTCAAATGAAGACCCCCTCATTGATGGCAATGTTGATGATTTCTGATTTGCTAAGTCATTACTATTTCTTTTTTGAATAAAATGCTAATGAACAAGATATTAGAAAATATAGAATTTTGAGTTTGATAACAAATTATATTGTTTTATTATTATAATGTTTGAATTTAAATTCAATTCCACACAATTTATTACTTGTCATTTTATAACTTGGGCATTTTATGTTTCATATATATAACAAATTATTTTTTATGTTTATTTTTAATATATTATTTGGTTATTATACAGCAAAATAATCATTTTAACTTTACGTAATTTTTTAATTTTGAGGCTTATGCCTCACGAACGAACGAAAAAAATTTCAATACTCAATTTTGCAATTTAAAACATTGGTAATGAGTTTAAGAAGATGACAAGAAGTAATATGCTACCCAAAACCTGATTTAATGGGACAAGAATTTTTAAAATTCAGACTAAAAAATGCTTTCAAGAAGTATACAAACAAAGATGATTAATGAAAGATTGTGCTTTTTTGCAAATAGTACACTCCTCAACCATGCTAAACACAGTATTGACTTCACTGAAATCTTTCTCTTGGTCGAAGATGATGAGACATTTTTTAGATACCATAGAATAGGATGTAAAAAGAGAGAACAAAGAGGGATAAAAAGGAACATTGCCACTACCTTAAGGAGGAATGCCCCGGTCTAGAATACTGCAATTTGATATGCAATATCACTACAACATTGGGCTTATGAACCCATACCAAACCTAGGGAAGTAATATATTGACTTTTATGGGGAGAGAGCACCAAGGATATTGAGCTGGAGGAGTAACAAAATGCTCAAGGGTAAGAATTTCTTGTTATGGATCATTGAATGAAGATGCAAGTGTATATGTTTTTCAACGATTGCTTATGTTTAAGGAAGTAGATGTATAATTTGCTCACTAGAATTTTTTATCTTATTTTTTGCAAGTTTTTGTCCATCTTAAGCTGGATATGTGGAGCTGATCAGAAGTTTTATAAGTCCATTATGCATATTCGTTCTCAGCCTATCACAATTAGAATTATAAAATAGAAAGCGAGCACTTTAAATTTTAAAGAGAGCAAAAGAGACAGCAGAAACATAACCAGTTGTAAGTTAGTTAAATTCATCCTAAAATAAGATAAAGCAGCTTTCTGTCATTGTTCTGGATGTTGTTATAGATGTAAGGAATTTTTGCAGTTTTTTAAAAAGCCCTACATTCTTCTTGCAATATATTTGTCTGCTCTTCTCATAAGTTGTGTTTTGTTATAGATGTAATTGTATTCAGTTGTATCAAAATTTTTGTCTAATCTATCATAACTATTGTAATTGCACTCATCTTATAACTATAATTATATTACAACTACTTTGATTCAGTGTAATGCTTCTCTTTTTGATTTTATAGAAGTTATACAATTATTTTATGCTTCTCATTACGATGTGTTATAGTTATTAAATTATACTCAGCATTATCTAACACAATTGAAGCAATTCGAACCTTATATGAATTCTATGCAAACAATGTATGAAGCTATCTTGGAGTCATAACATATGGTTCGAATAGTGTTAAAACAATATTCAAACATAGCTCAAAATTTTCCTTTAAATGATTTCAACCTTAATCAAAACCTGTTTGAACCTTATTGGGATAGTGCTTGAACCAATTTAGGTCACAATGGACTTAAAAAAATAGTCAAAAGCAAGGTACTTGAGTTTTTTAGTTCGAACAAACGTTCAGGCATATTTCCTAAGAAAATAAACAAGCATATTTCTTCAATTTACCCTATTATGACACAGATAAAATAAAATTGACAAAAAAACAAAACAAATGAAGCCAGCAGGTATCATCGAGAATGCCAGTAGAGCTATGATTTGCAATAATTGAACTAAAGTAAATTCAAAAGTCTAACAAGAACGATTACATCTCCAGACTAACCTAATCGCAGGACGACTACTTGGCTGCGGGTGCAATAGACGTAGGCAAAATGAAGCCTCCTTTGCCCATTTAAAGAGCATTTGTGGTGGAAGCAACCGGTGCCTCAAGTTCGACATTATACCAACCTTCTCTGCTGAAGTGTCAAACGTGCAAAATAACTAGCACAAGAAAACTAACCAACTATTACAAGATGACAATCAAAAGGTTTATGATAAAAACAAACAGTTGTATCCTAACCTCGAAAAGAAGAACTCCTAATTTATATATATCCGAGGCAAATGTACTTTTCCCTCCTTCAGCTTCTTCAGGGCTTCTGTACCAATTAAACTCCATACTCAATATCTTTTTGAGAGGGAAATCCCTTCTCCCCTCTACGTCAATGGCCACATCCAATTCCCTCTTTTCCTCCAACTCCTCCGTCGAAGACAAATATGTGGTAGAGGACAAATATGTGGTAGTTGCCGCCTGCTGATCACTAACAGCACCATCTCTGCGGACATCTTCTTCTCCAGAGGAAGTCCCTGAAGCCGAGCTCGAGCAAGAAGCAGATTCAATGAAGGAAACACAGTTAAAAGTTGACATCACAAAACATGACGGTCTGATGTTATTCACCACAACTCTCTGAGAATGTGCAAGGTTCACCGTTTCGACCACCTGCCGGAATATATGGAGGCACTCTACCGAGTCTACCTGTCGCTTGGGCTGATCCAGCCACTCCCTCAGACTGACCTCGCCAGTATTCTGATCACCATCAAAATCTATTTCTTCCGAATAGAACTTGAGACAATCATCATCATCCCCCTCATCGTCCATAGAAGTTCTGCCCCTGATAAATCCCAATCCGTCAATTGGGGCTGCGATGATGAGTCCAACGTCCCAGGGTCGTCGACGTGGAGGACCTCTCCCAGCTCGACTTCTCTTTGGAACCCGCCATGCGATCTAGCGCATCGCCAGAATCAACCGCTTAAACCCCAGATCATGCATTCCACATTCCAATACAGAAACCTTTATCACTCCAATACAAAGGCCTCCAACCTCAAGCTACCGTTTTGAAGCGTCCGCCATCCTCACAAATTTGAATCCCCCTCGTTTTCTCTCCCCAGGCTAAAACAATGAAGTTACAGAAATCCGCAAACCGAAATATTATTTCCATATCGGTCCTCGAGATCATTATCGGTTTACGGTAATTGTTTGTTTAATGGGGAGGAGTATTTGGAGGAGAAGACGGACCAGCTGTTTCGTTATCCACTCTCTTCACTCACTAGTCTACGCAATTTGGATCCTCTGTGGCAAACCGCTACGTGGAACCTCCATGTCCGTTCACAGACAAAGATATCCAGCTTGAAGCTTTGTTTCCCGGCACGAAACTCACAGCCGCCCATTCATTTGGGCTTTATTATCTTAAAAATAATGGTTTTGCCGGTTCAAAATATCAATATCTCAAAATTTTAAAAAAATTTAATTAAGTGTTAAAATATAAACTTGATTTAGAAAAAATTAGATTTTGATAATTTGATAAATTTTAAAATATTTATTAACTAAACTTGCTAGTAGCTACTAAATTATAAAAAGGTTGATAGTCGAAGTAAATTTAATGTTGATAAGTCATTGAAAATCACCTTAGTCGGGCAGAATCTTGAGGCATATTTAAATTAAAAACATTCAAATTAAATATAGAATCATCCAAATTCAGATTCAAGCAAACTTATAGTTAAAATTAACATCTTGACAAGACAAATCCAACGATAGTATAGCTGGATCAATTTGGGAATAAATAAGTTCAAATTAAGCAATTAAAGCATAATTGAAAACTTCAAACATTAATTAGGGATCAAATGAACCCCAAATTTGACATGCTTACAGTAGAATTGAACATTTCAATAAGATAAATCTAACAAACTTAAGACGGCTTAATTTTGACATCATTTTGGCGCTCAAATGTTGAATGAACGCTTTGATCAAAAGAATCAATACAGAGCCGCCCGATGGAATGTTGGATTTTTGCTATATTTATGGGACATGTCACTCGTAAAAATCTATAAAAGGCTCTCACTCTCTACATAAATGATGGGCTATGGATTGGAGCCTTCACTTTGGCTTAATATTAAGGAGAGCTATGAGTCTTTAAAAATCCTCAAGCAGCACCACTAGTGTGAAAGCCTTAAATTTTTAAGACTTTTTTTGTTAACCTAGTGCAGTCAGTAATTATTTCTAGAGTCATTATAATTTCAAATCACAATCCATCTTCTTGATAACATTAGTGGTGTAGTGCTTTAATTACCCTATTTTTTCATAATTTTTTGGCACATTTAAAATTTCTTAAGAAATCGCCAGATGTTTGTACAACTGGGGTATTTTGGACCGTCAACTGTCCGTTTTGCAAATTGATTTTATCAAAATTTTCTAAATAAAATAAGCTAATTTATGATTATTTTTCTGTAATTGTTTATATTCCTAAAGTATTACTATGAATTTTATACTGAAAAATTAATTATAAAATAATATTATATTATTATTATATATAAAATCAAAATATCTTAAATCACTAACTATTCTAAATAATTTTCACAAGTCAGAAATTGCTAATAGATAGCTTTTGGAAAAAATTAACAGGAAGAGAGGATAGAGAAAAAGAAAAATCATATTTTGGGTGACTTCGGGTCATTTTTGTTCGTGGCATAGTTGAGAAACTTGTTCGTTTTGAGGTAAGTCACATTATTCCAGTCTCATCTCAATTTTCAATAATGCTTAATTTTTAGCAAAATTTTCAATTAAGATTTTGCATTCGTTAGAAAAAAATAGATAATTTTGCACAGGTAAAACTGTTACATTGTTATATTTTATATGTTAGAGAGATTATGATTATCTACATTTTAAATATTTTTTAAAAATTTTATAATGGGAGTTTTAAATTTGTGAGGTTTTTATTGAATAGAAAATTTTCTGGATATTGAAAAATATTGGTGTAAAATAATAAAAGTCTTAAAAGATCATTTTACATAATCCCTAATAAATTGATAATTTTTAAAAAAATGTATATTTTTACCTAGTATGATTTTCCATTATCTACCATTATACAATAGTGTAAAATTTTGATATATGCTCAATTACTATTTAATTGTTATAATGTGATGACACATGTGTATATGTGAATAAATTGTATATGTTGGAAGTCATAAGGAGCGAGAATCATCTATAATTTTATTTGTATTAGAGAACCGTCGGGAGTTATAAGGGGACGGAATCATTTTTAGATTCAATCTGAGTTAGGGATATGTGATATGTTCTAATTTTATCAGCACTAATAAAAAAAGAGTCATAAGGGGCCAGAATCCTTTAATGTTTTGTTTGGGTCTGAAAAATATGACATGAACTACTCTATAATATGAATTTTAATTTATTTATTTATTCAGCATTGCTATTTACATTAGAAAATAATTGTTATGCATTTATTTCATCTCTCAATATAGTGATTAATTCAAACTACATTTAACTAATTTTGAATATTCAGTAAAATGTTTAATAAAAGAGATTTATTTGTGTGGCTTATTGAGCTGTTGTAGCTTACTGTGATTTTGCTTCTAGTTTTTAGAATTTGGGAAGAGGGGAAGACTATGGACTAGTAGTTCATGATTAGATCTGAGGTCATAGGTATTTTGTTATTTTGATTTTTATACAATCATTACTAGTTAAATTTTTCAGTTATATAACTCTTGACTATAATCATATACTATAGTGTAGATTTGTTTTTTGATGAAATGAAAAAAAACCTAGTTTATGAGTTTATTTTCAGTATTTGGATATTTTAATAGCTCTGTAGTCTATAGTTTATTTCATTGAATATTTGGAAAAAAATTAGAAATAATTATAAAATTAGATCTTGGGATTTATCTATCACAGCTCAATATGATATGACCTTTCATAGTCTGATTAGGTTGTGACAAGCTTTTATAGTATTAGAGTAATAATTTTGAAATTGGATTGTAAAATATAGATATATGAATTTATCTATGTATGTTTAGTGGGGTAGTTTCAAGTGTGTCAGGGTGTTCATTATTTTTGTTCATGTGCATTTGTGTTTAGTTGCATATTCTGTGCGATCATGGATCCACCAGGCCTAGATATGACATATGGATAGAGTGCTAGTTAGGCAACTCTTGTATATAGTAATGTTTCGATAGTTGGTTCAAATATAGCAATTTACTACTTTGATAGCTCAGATGATGGATGAGGTATAGAGCAGGGTTCATGCTGTTAGATATGAAGTGGTAGACAAACATCTACAAATGTTTCTAAGATTAAAGACTTGAGATTCGAGGTTACTATTGAGCCCAAAGTAGTAGAGGATTTGTTGAAGAGATTATAAAATACATTTGAAGGTATATAGTGTCTATCTAAGAGGAAAGTACCATTAGCAATTTATCTATTAGATGATGAGGTAGAATGCTAGTGGATGGGCCAATATAAAGAAAATTTTTAAGGGATATTAAATTCTCTGATTACCTAGGATGAGTTCTTTGATGTATTTAGAGCTTAGTTTGTACCACCTTATATACGACAATAAATGTATGAGACTTTAATTTCTTGAGCATGGTTCAGGGGATTAAGACAGTCATATAATATGAGGCAGAGTTAACTACTTTAGCTAGATATACTTCACAGTTGCTTAGTACTCATATTGAGAAGTGTTACAGGTTCCTGAAAGGACTTTAGGATAATTTGAGACATCCTCTAGTGTCATTTCACATTTCTAATTTCTCTGAGCTTATGGAGAGATCTTATTTGATAGAGAACGACCTGATGGCTACTCAGCAACGATGGATTGCTGGTAGGAAAAGGCTCAGTGGTAAGACTTCTAGTAGTGGATTTTCTGGGAAGAAGAGTAGATTTACACTTGAAGATTCTAAGAAAGGTGGACAATGAGCATCTATAGCAATCTCTAGTAGTGGTAGTATAGTTAATTATAGTTCTGTTAGAGGGGCATCTGTATGTCAGAGTTGTGGAAGACGTCATTTTGGATAGTGCTACAGGATGATTAGATAGTGCTTCAGATGCATTCAAATAGGGCATCGGGTAGCAGAGTGTTCATAGACAGGTTTTGACTGACATTCTGAGTCTAGATTTAAGAGTTTTATAGAACAGTAGAGAGACTAAGGGCAGCTCCTCTCTATAATATTTTTTAGGGACCATATAGTAGAGATGGTGGTTCGGGTTTAGTGGCAAGGAGGCCATCTAGCTGTGGTCAGAGAGAGCCTAGTAATTTTATTGTTCTAGTTCCACTTCAATCACATGTATACAGTTTGACTCAATGCTAGATGTTGTGATAAATATAGTTTATATTTTTGAGCATCTATGTCTTATTTTATTTGATTATGGACATAGTCTTTCATTTATTTTCAAGCATTCTTTGATTTATTACACTTACCTTCAGTTGTACTTCCTATTTCTCTTTCAATTATTTTACTAGTTGGAGATAGTATGATAGGCAGTAGATTTTATTTCTAAGAGATTAAGATTTTTTATAAGTAGTAGAAATCCAGTTTGATTTTATTACCCATTTCCTCATATGATGTTATTTTTTGTATGAATTGGTTGAGTCAGTATAAGGCTCTTGTTAATTAATTAAAAAAAATGAGCTATGTTATTTAAAGGCAGTAACAGTTCAGTATTCTAGGGAGTTAGAGATATTTTATCTTATTTAATCTTTATATTGGAAGTAGATAGATTATGAAAGGAGGGTTGTATGGTATTACTAGAATCCATCCATGATAGTAATATAGATGTTGGTTCTGTTTCTGATATCCTAATAGTATGAGATTTTTTAGATATATTTCCTGATGAGTTAGTCAATTTACCTCAAGGAAGAAACTTAGAGTTCTATATTGACCTATTTTTGGGTATGATCATAATATCTAAAGCTCTGTATAGGATGACACTTAAGGAGCTTTAGGATTTAATTTAAAGGTTCTGCTTCAGGAGTTATTTAATAAGGAATTTGTTTGTCCTAGTGTATCTCCCCGAGGAGCACCTATTCTATTTGTGAAAACAAAGATATGATATGGTGCATATGTGTATAAACTACAAAGAGTTGAATAAAGTTACTATCAAGAAGAAGTCCCCCCAGCCACGGATGGCTGATCAAATTGACCAGCTTGCAGGATCTTCTATATTCTCAAAGATTGATTTGCGACCTTGTTACTATGAGGTGAAGGTGAGAGAGGCTGATGTAATGAAGATGACTTTCAGTACTCGGTATAA